AAATCAGATTGAGTTAACTGAATGCATAGTTCGTAAGTGACAAAAGGATTGATGATCTAAAATGTTAAATAAATAGATTATAGATTATTTTCTGATCTCAACTTATATTATTCATATGAAATCAACTTATCATGTGCTCGTAAATCATGATTATCTATTAGGAATTCACGAAAAGTAATTTTGGAATTAGGTTTAAAGCGAATGGTAATCGACATATTTTTGGTTATTTTTGATAAACCTTGGATATTTCATCGGATTATCTGGGTATGCACGATAAAAATTTAGAATATAATCTAGCATCTATGATTAAAATCCCTCTAATTTTTTGCCTTTTTTGTCACATTTTTCTATTTAATCTTGTAAATATAAAATATGGCTGAGATTATCCGTGGTTTCAGCTGTTTTTTGTGTTTTTAGTGCCACGTGTATTATTTAATAACACTCATCTCACAGTCAGGAAGTCCGATCTACGATACTTAATATATTAATTAAGTGGCTCACCAACTATGGGATTATCGCATAATGTCCCAGTGCCATTTCATCACCATGATTATACATGAAGCAAACATTCTAAGAGGTTGAAGTGCCATATATACATTAATTTTATATATTACCTATTTTTTACTCGCACTTTCATCCTCAAGAGAAATTTGATGGAAGTCCTAGTTTCTCTTTGTTCACTCTTTTTAGAATAAAATTTTTAAAACTGCATCCAGAACTACTCAGATTTTTTATTGACAGCCTGGCAATGAAGCCGAGTAGGGGTGCTCGATTTATTAATCTAAGAATCATTCATAATAAGATAAAATTTGCAAAAGATTGGGTTATCTTTATTTTCAATACTTTTCAGAGATATTTTACTAGGAAAATATTTAATCGAATTTTATATTTGCTTCAAGTATTTACTTTCTAATTTTTCTGATATTTTGGTCTGCGTAGATCTGCCGAGAGGTTAATCTCGCAAAAATTTCTAACAGCCATTATGGCGCAGTTAACCAGAAATGATGAGCGCTAACCGCTTTACCAAAAAATAAATACAATATTTTAAATTATTTCTATTTTCTATTATTTTTTATTTCATGGAAATTTTTCATGGAAATTTTAAAATTTTTGGTGGTTTTTTTTAATATCAAAAGTTCAATTGATATTTAAGATTAAGAACCATTTTTGTTGTGCGATTTTTTTTGCTATAAATTATAAAATTTTTTCATCATTTTTAATTAAAGATCATATATGATCCATATAAATTTTTCTAAATAAATTTTCAAAATTTGAATCACCATCAGCAAAAGAAAAATGGAAATGAATATATTCATTCAATTTCTTGTTCGTCGTCGACTTTTGATCGTTTGCATCTCTATTTATATTAAAATGAACGAGTTAAACGGAGTAGGCAAATTGGCTAGTTAAAACTTTGGAAAATGGCATTGCCTTAATGCCTTAGTTTTGCTTCTTCAGCATGTTTTTCTTCAGTTAAGGCGTTCAGTTTATCTCTCTTTTTTCTTTAAAAATCTCAAAGAAACAAAACAATATAATGTGAAAAAAGCAAAATAACGCTCACCATTTTTCCTTAGGGCTAGCTTGGTATGCTGAGAAATTTTTACCAGAGGGTGGCTTCATGACAGAAGTGCAAGTGAGTCGCTCCAACCCAGATTTCTCTTGAATTTTTTAATGGCCGACTTCTGTCCTGTCGAAAGCGGAGCTCCTGAATTTCAAGATTATAATAAACAAGATTATAATATTCTATATAATAAAATTTTCATCTGTCCTTCCTCTAATATGCACATCATTATATGGCCTTTATAAATCCATAAAATTTTGAAATCAATGAATAATTACAAAATTATACAAGACGTCGTTTTTAATGGAAGAAAATAAGAAAAAATCTTAAGATTTTCGCTTATTTCTATATATTTCATTAAAATATTCACATTTTTCTCTTTATTCTTTATTCATTTCATTTTTCACAATTTCCTTTGAATTTTACCAAATCGATCGAAAATTTGAAAAATTAAAAATGATTTATTCCGAATATTTAAAAATAATGTGGTTCTTAAAATAATTCAACGTCTTTTAACAGCGCCATTATTGACGAAAGGGCTGTAAGCCTTAAGAGATTTCGATCTTAAATTGATCTCAGTGATTAAATTTTTCATATCTATACACATGATCCGGTTATTTTCTTAAGCAAATAACAGGAGAGAATGTCTTGTATGGTAGGCCTATACTAATATCACTATTGATGATGAATCCAGATAATTGGATGCTGTTACATATTTATCGTAAAAACAGTTTAATCTAAACCCTCCTATAAGTTTTTTATGTTGCAACGAAGGCATAAAATTTTCCCGGTGTTCTTCATTATACATCAATGTTTTCAGTTGATGCTAAATGAAATATTTTTCTTTATCCTAAATAATGGATTTTTTAGCATCAAAGTTGGATTTGAAGGATTTAGCCGGAACGAAAAGAGAACTGATTTTCTCCTTCTATTGAAATTTTACCACAAAAATTTTTGCGAACAATTTCTTAAAATTTTAGCATTTTAAAATTATTTTATTGACCTTTTCACATTAGGCGATAAATTGATAATTATTTTTTATTTTTTTTATACATAATATCATAATATTTGTCACTGTTATTTAGTTCATTAATCAGTCAGTGCTATAAACTTATCGGTCGAAGACTACCATATAAATGATACCACTTGAGGCATTGGAGGCTCCTTTCAGCACTTTCTTGCTTAAATTTTAAAGTTTTTCATCCCAGTTTTGCATTGAATTTCATCGTAGTTTCATATGTTTCGAATATTTTGGTAGCAAACTTCTTTAATTTAAGCGTAATACCGTCCGGGTTATTTTTTTTTAACTTCTATTTCTGATATTATTCACTATTTTTGGTATCATACCGATGCACATAATCCGGTTATTTTCTTAACTTCTTCACTGTCTGCTGGGAGAAAATCTCGAACCATAGAGAGGCATTTGAAATAAAGTACAGTTAAATTCCCAACTTTACTCGGAATTCTTCGACTGGTTTTCTTTTTTTATGACTAGTTTTAATTAATTTGTGAAGAATACTTTTCTAAGATATAAATCTATTGTTTTTAAGATAAATCTATTCATCTTATCCGTGTTTAACCATATTTGTGTGCGTCGAATCCTGGCCATAAAAAAAGTCTTATTTTTTTGCTACATTCATGGTTGTTTTATGATTTTGTAAGCGAAATCGAAGATTGAAAAATTGATAAACAATATACAAGCATCTATCTACTTATCCTATCATGTTAGCATAGAATTATCTTGGAAAGTAAATTTATTTTTGTTGACTAATTTTGGCAGACGCAATCGGCTTGATCTATTATGTCTGAATAAGGATTTTTTTCAAATACTTTTTAGGAATTGAGCATAGCTGATAAGTTCCAAATCCTCCCATTATCACATAGTGATTTTGATTTTGATTTTTTTGCAATTCAAAGCCAATCATTCTCGTTGATAATCCATTTTCTCGTTACATTTTGTATTTTGCACTAATAAAATTATCATCGTCGCCGTTATTGGAATACTCACGAAATGCTAAATGAACTGAGTTTTTAGAAAAATTACATTAATTATAATTGAAAAGTACATGGTTACCTTGAAATTTATGGAATAAAATGAGTCATATCTTTGAAAACCAGTTGAAACAGCGCAAATTTCTAAAAAGGATATGCAATTCTTTTCTTCAATCAGAATAAAATTTATCAGAATAAAATTTTTTGAATTTTTTTGGTTTTCAGCCTCTCCACTTTGTCTGCTTCGTAATCATCGATATTCCTTTTTTGTGGAAAAGACTAAATTTGTAAAAAAATACGATAAACTTAACAGATATTCTTATTATATATTCTTATATATTATATTATATTAAGGGTATATGTATATTCTTATATAATTTGCTGAATGTGAACGAAAATGTCGCTTAGCTTTGTATTTTCCATGTTTCTCGATCAGAATTATTTATCATTTATTCAAATTTTTTTTTTGCGATTTCTAGTTGATCTGAGCGTCTTTCATTCTCATCCGACGAAGTGGTCTAATCCCGATGATCGAATTACAAATAGTGAAAGAAGCCAGGCTAACAATAGTTCTTAGTTTCAATTGTACCAATGATACGATTTGATTGTCAGACTTTTGAAAAAAAGAATTTTCTGAGTTTTCGCTGAATTTTTCTTAAGTTCCAGATTTTTGAATTTTGTATTTTATGCCTATGAAATATATTTGTGAATTCAACTTTTTCACTTTTAATTTAAATTGTCCGCGTGAAATAAATAATTTTTCTAGAACTCTTTTCATTATTATTTTCATTCATTATTATACTATATCAAATTTGAATTTTTGCAGTTTTATATTTATTTAATAAAATTTAAATGAAAAGGAGGAAACAAATATAATGCGAAATTCAAACCACGCTATAGGATGACGCAATATATAGAAAAAATTGTGAGAAATAGACAAGAAAGAGATGGATACGTAAATTTCAATTTACTACGCAATTCATTATTTATTTTATTATGAGAAATTTTTCCGTGTTTCAGTAAATTATTTCTAATGATCGATATATTTCTCGAATTCAGCGGGCTTGAAATGTCTATTAGATGAATGAATGAATGATGATAAGTGAAAATGCTCTTCGTGTTTCATCCAAAAAAAAGAACATCAACTGACAATTTAAAGATATTTTCTCCTTTTCTTCATATTCGTAAAATTTTAAGAAAAATTCTCAGGATTTATAACGGAAAAAATTTGTGCAAAGTTTGTCAATGTTTCGTCTGAGAATACAGAGCATAAGAAGTTTTCATTTCAGTTCCTGTGCTCTACTCAAGTAAACCCATCATTATGTTCAGAGGCAGAACTGAACAAATTCTCTTCCACAAACCGTTCGCTCCTTTCATTATTTATATTTTTACGCTTTCACGTTTATCACTTGTTTTTCGCACTTCAAATGAAGTTTTCAGTTGCAGTATGATTAAAATATATGCAAGCATATTTGTCGTTCTTTTGAACATATGTTTCGTCTTATCGCATGTAATAACAATCGAGGTGAAAGGACGATTATTATGTAATGGAAAAGAACATGGCAAAGTTGGCTTAGACGGCTGGCCTAAAAAAGTTTATTTGTGGGATATGACAGATGACGGTGAGTTTGAAATTCCTTTATTTTTAATTTATAACATTTGCAGATATTCATTTGCAGATATTTTAAATTCGTCATATGTATCATTCCTCGCATTGAAATCTCATTATTAAAATCATTATAAAGTTCCATTAGATTTTAATTTATTTGAAATACTTTTATGACTTAATTGATTCAACTTATTGCCAACTTGCATAAAAAAAATTTTTTCAAACCCCAGTCGGATATTAAAATTTGGTGGCGTTTCATTTATTGCTCGCAAGGAGAATAATATACAATAATGGGTAGATAATGGATTTATTTGGTAGGTAAAGAAATTTCGTTGTAGCATGGAAATACAGAAGAACTAGAGAAGGACTCATTTTTGATGTTTTCCTGCTTAGCTTTGATTCTCTGAATTTTATCTCATTTTTCGATGCTTGTATTTTCATTTTTCCTCTCAAAGACTGATGAATAATCTATCTTAACTACCGACTTAAGGAATTTAGCAAAATACGAAAACCGATGTTTTCATAGGATACTCGATGCATACAAACTCGATGCATACATCTATATGAGACAAAATTACCTGCCATCTCTTTTGCATGTAATAATTATTTTTCCGCCAAAGTTTCAAAAATTTCGAAATTTAGACAAAAATTTGTAAAAATATATTAAAAACCATACTTGATGTTTTCTTCAGTGAAAATCCTTTACAGTAAAATATTTTTAGTACCAGTAACAATGATAAGTGGCTTGAATTATGTAAATAACAGGAAGGGAATTTTCTATTTAAAAGGCGTAGAAGTGAAAGGAGTCCCAGTTGGTTTGCGCATCTATCACCACTGCTATAATAAACCAACGAAGGTAAATTTTATTATTTCTGTGAAGTTCAAACAGTGGAATCTTAAAAATTTTTATAAAACTCGTTCTCAGTAAAACAGAAATACAAATTTCCTATTGCAGTTGAGATCAAATGTAGCAATTTCTATATTTTATATTAATATATCTCTATTTGTTGCAGATTTTAAGGAAAGATTTCCTTAGGAGAATGGTTTATAGAACATTTGATCGCTAGTTCATTTCAGCAATTACTTTCATGAGATTTAATGCCAAAAATTTCAAATGGCATCAAAAATTGTTCATTTATGCAGAATGAAAATGTTAATGAAAAGTTTTCTTCTATGAAGGACTGCTATATGGTGAATACATTAGAAGTACCCGAACAGTACTTGAATGATGAAAGGTGGTTGGTTGAATTGAACAACACGGAAGGATATCTAGATCCGACATGTTTGCCATACTGATGATCTCATTATACATTACAGCCTTTTTTTTCAAAATTAATTTATCAGTTGTTGTTTTGAAATGAATTTGAAATCAACGTAGGTAAAGAACAAATCAATTCAGATTTCGTTAAAATTTATTAGAAAATTGGCGGAAAAAATTCGTTTTTTATTCATTATTCAATTAATTTATTTCACTTTTTTTCATGATAAGTGCGAAGAAAAAATTTTCTTTAAATTGATTTTATTTATTGGTATTTTTGAGCAATTTTTTATTCAAAATATCATTTAAATAAATATATTTGTCATTAAATATATAAAAATAAATAAATGAAATATACAAATACATTTCAAACAGTAAAAATCATTTGCATTTAAGAAATTAGTATTTTAAGAATTTTAAAAAAACATGTATGTATATAGCCAACTTTATTCGAGAAGAATATATTACACCGTTAAACACTCATAATTCCGAACCACAAATCTAGAATCCGAGAAATTTCATCGTAGAAGATAATGATGTGGCTCTAAATATTTTTTAAGAGAAAGAGAAAAGAGTTAAGTTACAGGAAAAATTTGAAGTAAGATTTCTAAGAAATCAATCAAAAAAGTAATATGATCAATAACCATGAAATTAAATTAAATTATTCCAAAAAATGCTCCTTGCCAACTTATTACAGATGAGTTTAATTACTTTTCATGTGCTTTGACTTTTGGATTTGCGGATTTTTACTAATAATTTTTTATATAAATTATTTGCTTGGATAGAAAATAAGATAAAAATGTTTATCGAATGATTTTTGTCAAGAATTTGACAAGAAATTTTTTACAAAATATGTTTGAGAGAATGATGAATCGTAAACGCAATTTTTTTATTGATTATCGTTAAAAACATATTGCTTGAAAAAATTGAACAGGTTAAAACGGAAAAATTCAGTAAGATTTTCAATTTGAGGAAATAAAATAGGGCATAGAAATGATAAACGATGATGAACATTTCATAATATATAAAAAAATCAATTAAATACAAATATATAAAAATATTTTTTTCCGAAAAAAATATAAAAATATATATAAATATGCAATTCTTTTACGAGAATTCTTTTACGAAATATTAATAATAATAAATATAATAAATAAATAAATATATATATATAAGTACAAGTTTGAATTGAAAACTGAAAAAGAAAATTATAAGTTGCACAGAAACGGGTTTTATCATACGTTTTGACCGAAATAAATCTGCCAATAATAATAAAATCCGTGTGGCGCACATAATCCACTTGCACTTTTATCCCAAAGTGACTTTTCGGAAATGAATGGGCCTTATTCTAATGGTGCGAGCGAAATAAGAATTAATAAATGGTGTTAAAAGAAGGATGATAACGTTATTATTTATTAATAAATTATTAATTTATCATTGCTCGTTTTATTAGCAAATTAATATTAAAATTTCAACTTGTTTTATTTTTTATAACTTATTTTATTTTTGACTCGCTCCATAATTTAAAAATGTGATATACAAAAAAATAAATATCTTTCATACATATCATAATAAAAATCTACAAACTACAAGTATAAAACCGAAAAAAATTGAACCAAACGTTTGCATCTGAGGGCTAAGAGATGGCGCTGAACTGTTTTTATTAATAAGCAGTTGGACACCATAAGCATCTGACGAATTAAAGATAGCCTCATTCTCTAGCAGACCAAAAAATTTCTCAAAAATTATCCACTTATCTTTAGTGGAAATTTGTTCGAGCGGTTCTTCGTAATTCGCCTAAAAAGAAAACAATTTCCGATAAGCCAGTCGGTTTGGATTGTTCTACTTAAGAAAATAAAAATTTAATAATTCAACGTGAAAACCTGAGAAATGACATGATTATCGATTTGAACCGGATAATGCGACCGAATTCGAATAGATGCGTATGGCTTATCGCGATATTCAATTAGGAAACCTCCAGAATCTAGTTGCTCATTTTTCTTTATATACAGTAGTTTCATTAATGACAGAATGTTCATGTGTGGCTGAAAACACGAATTCGTTTGCTAAGTTAAGATTTTAAATAATATATAGGAACATTGCAATTCCAAACAAGGATAATGGAGGATATATTCGAGCTGCACATCACACATCACAGCTCGGCCTTTCTCCGCAATAAAACCACCATCAAGAAACCTGGACAGTGCCGATGATTTATATGTAATATTCATAAAACACCATCTATGGTGCCTTATCCTATTAGCTAGTGGAGTGAACTAATGAATGATAACCTTTAATTAATTAAACATGAACAATTACAGAGATAAAAATTTATCTAAGTAGCAAAAACAATATTTTCACAAGTCATAAATTACTGCTATTTTTGTGCATAGGTAATTGATTATAAGCCCTTCAAGCAGTTTAATTGTAATTGTAATTGGAAGAAGAAAATTAATCTTATTATTAATTAATCTTGTTAGTCTTATTATTTCTAAATATTATTTGTTTAATAAATTTAAGAAATTAAAGTATAGCATATATTCTTGATAAAGATAATAAATCAAATCTTCAAATCTTCCTTGATATTGCGAAACCGAATAAATTAAAATTAAAATAGATCGCTGAACCGTTAACTTTATGTTATATTTTGCAGAAAGAAAAATTTATCTTAAAAAATCTCATAAAAAGTTTCTTTTATAATATTCATATGGGAACAAAATGGACCTCAGCACCATCCAAATTGCACTTAATGAAAGGCTTTAATGACTGCGATTATTAAAGATAAGGAATCGAAATGAAGATAGGTAATTCAAGTCGAAGCAGTATATTCTTCGATCAACTTGCTCTTATTCAGTTAAAAATTAATTTGATATTTATAATTTTCTCTTTAATGGATTTCTTTAAATCGAGCAGAAAGAATATGATTGGAATATTTGATATTTTTTGCATGTATCATTTTCGCTTCTAAGCTAGCTTCGTTGGCTTGTGGACAAGAAAATTATCATCACCTGGCGATATAAGCATCTATGACATCATCACTTGGATTTTCGAAAGATAGATTTTCCCCTGCCGGAAACACTTCGGATTTATAGCAATAACTCACTGAGCCATTTTATTCTCTAGCCAATAAATTAAATTGTCAGTAAATAGTTGCTGATTAAGCATTAATTAATTAGCAATTAATCAGCCAAAACAAACCGATACATATCCAACAATTTTTCCGCTGTATTCTCCTCTACTAGCAGCAGTTAAAATTGAAAGAATATGTCCTAACCAAACACCTCCCATTATATGTCTACATTCAGGATTTTCAGCGCAAGCGATTTCTCGTGTTTCTAAAAACAAATTGATTTCTTCCAACAACCGTTGTCTATCATAATTGTCGATCGAAGGGTTTGCAATCCACTCGGGAAGATCTGCACCATAAAGAATCTAAAAAATTTAAAAATTTTATTAACTGCCAGGTAATCAATATCTATTTTAACTGGTTTAGTGTTTATTGTAAAAAATGAGAAATCAGTAAAAATGATGCATATAAAGAAATATGAAATATGTATTAAACAATTTTCCAATTATTTAACAATTAAAATATTTAACAATTTTTCAAAATGGTCGTATGGCACACTAACTATTTCCTGCAGATTTTGAGCCAATATTGAAGCGCTCTCGATAGTTGCATTCCAACCAGTTCCATTAGCAATATAATCCAAGAGCGGTCTTTTTTCCACTGCTAACTTCTGTAATCTTTCCAGCTGTTCTTTTCTAATTGAAGACCAAACTGAAAAATGGTTAGAAATATATTCAAAAAGAAAAATTACTTGTGGATTTTATTTGGAAATTTGATGAATTTAAGGCCAAATTTTAAAAGAATTTTCTCTAGCATACAGCATTTCTGATTAGGCTCGTACTACTGGCTTTTGGGTCGAAAATTTTTCAGTAGAGAATCACTTAAAAATATAAATGAAGATAGGTTCTCAACATTGCTCTCACTTGACATTTAATGACAAAACTGTCTCATTAAGGGATAGGAACCATAATACTTAACCAATTCCCTCCATATTATCTCCATTTTAAAACGCCTAAATCGGCTGAACGGCATTATTGCGAACAAAAATATAATTTTCGTTGCTTAACTGTCTGCATAATTTTTTTCGTCCTATGAAGAAGATAGCAAAGGATAGAATATTGACAATTATCAGCTGAAAACTCTGTTAATTAGAAATTTATAATTTTGCAAATTTATTTTATGATAATTACAGTTTTGAACTAAATTTATTTATTTATTCATCTAATTATTGTTTATTCAGTTTACGGGTGGTGGTGGAAATATTTCCATTTGTATCATTCACTGCTATTTCCACTTCTATCGTCAAGCGCCGTTCTATCAATTGAATCGAAGGCAGCTGCATAGTCGATGAAATAGATAACGGTGATTTCTCTGCAGGATGATAGATGTTCCACAGTGTTCCAGAGAAGATCATTTGACTCATAAAGGCATTTATCGCTTGTTGGCATTCAAAAAGTTGTCAAATTCGTCCAGAGAATAGATTGAATACGCTGATGATGCCGTCCTTTGTACAGTTATGGCGAAATGCAAATAATGCATTGTATCAACAATTGCAGCCAGAATCGGACTCAGGATTAATATAAATAAAACGAACATGTTTTTGTTTTATATACAACAAGATACATGTTTTAATCAATTCATTTCCAGTTAAGAGAGTACTCAATTTTAAATATCTTGGACCCACTCTAAACCAAAACTGCCAAGCGATAGAAGAAACTACGACTAGGATAACGGTGGTAGAAATGCCTTTTTCCGGTTGACGAAATCTTTATGGAATCGTAGAGAAATCATCATAAAATGAAAGTCCATAGCTACATAGCTGCAATTCAGTCCATCTTGTTATATGGTTGCGAGACATGGCCAATGAGAGTAGAAAATATTAAAAAGTTATTTACCTTAGACCACTCATGTCTAAGATATATTTTACGGGTTCACTAAATGGATAAAATCTCATATGATTGCATCCATCTTCAAATACAACCTGCACTATTACTACTATCATAAAGCATTGTTTTTGCAGGTTGGGACATCGCCCACCACAGAAGTTGACATAATTCGATATTTGCCTGAGATGATCAAAAGCGAAGTGGACCAATCAAGACTGAAACAGAAAGATTTTGAACGTATAGGACGATCAACGATATATGGACTTAGACGATGGAGAAAAGAATGACTTCTATTACTGTCGACAATGGCATCAGATCGTGCAGTTTATCGTTGGCCTTGTAGCCAAAGAAGCCAACCTAACATCCGATTATAGTTATTTCGAATTGCACTATATTATTTCGCAATTTCCTCTTTATTTCATTTTTGAACTATTTTTTTTATTTTATTATTAATTTTTTGTCATTAATTCTTATTATTTATTATTTTAACTGTTGTTATTAATAAAAGCACATGGCGTTTGCGTCCTGCTTGGCTGGTTTTCAATAAATAAATAAATAACCAGTAATGGTGCGAGATGTTAGAAGAAGAAGAAGAAGTGCTTCTATCGTTTAAGTCAAAATTTTCTATCGGCAAAATTTATCTTGTGTGATAAGCCAGTGGAACGAGGCTAATAGTAAACAACCATAAAAAATTTTTTAAATTCTTATGCCATTTGATTACAGAATTTAACGATGTAATAAAGAAAATTAGAACAGAAATAAAATGAGCCTTTATGAACATTTATATACTGTTCTAAATCATCGACCGTTAGCAAGGTATCGTTGATTGTGTAGGGGACAGGTGTCCAATCTAAAGCTTGATTCCATTCAGCAAATGTATCTGGTGGATAAATTCCTGCTAATATTGCCTGAAGACCATTGTAACAATCAAATATAAATTTTCATTCAGTAAAATGCTTCGTTGACGAGATTTTTTGAGAGTCCTGCGAGATATTAATTTGCATTAATTTGAATTTTGATAAATCCATGGAAAAGCATGAAGAATTTTTTTGGTTTTTTCCGAAATTGTTCAATTGACTTCATCATATAACAAATAAACAAAATGACAAAAAGCAAAGATACTTGCAAAGTCATTTGGCAATTATTCAATTCTGAGGTGTAGAATTTAGCCTCACTCGGTAAATAATTATTGTTCAGCAGAGATCCAACGAATTCTCTCACTTCTTTGCCTAAGCCGAAAGCTTGTCGCTTACCAAACTTCAAAATAAATATTTTTAGAAATCCTTCGCAGCCAACTTAAAAATTTATAAATTGGACATAAAGTATTACAATACTGCTCGATTTGTCGATCGATTTCTAAAGAGTCGACGTAATATTGACGAGACGAAATAATAAAATATTTTAAGAAACCAAAGAATACCTGAGTTAGTTCATTTGTACCTTCATAACCCCACATTCGATTGGTACCATCATCTAGAAATTTAGATGGAAGTCGATTGCCATTCCCACTGCCAAATAATATCAGTTTTGTATCTGGATCAATCGTCACCGAGTTTTCCGGTAATTTTAAAGTATTGGATGTTTCACTTATTTCAGATAGAATTAAGAATACAAGGCATCTGTGTATTTGAGCAACCATGAAAAATCGATCAAAATGCTCAAAACATTCATAAACGACCAACCTGCATTAGAATATTGTAATTTTCAGATAAAAATAAGTCATAACAATTGGCTTTAAAAAAACAATTAAAAAATCCTCCCTTTAGGAGAAAAACAGTTGAATGGTATGCATCATATGGACGATTCTTGTCCTTAGAGGTATTAGACCCACCATTAACAGTGAAATCAGGTGGACTCACCTGCACTGCTAATTATTCTCTCGTAAAGGAGTCTCATTCTATTATTCTGTAGAAAGAGCCAAGAAATGGAAAATTCTTAGAGGACGAAAAAAATTACGAAACTTTTAAAGTTTAAGATAAATTGAAATTGAGAAAATTCATAAAAATAGATAAATCAATTAAAATTATTTTTTATTGAAATAGAAAATTTAGTAGAAAATTACGAATCGATAACGAATTTAGAGAACAGAACAGAAAAAAAAAATAAACAGTAGTATCTGACGACAGGTATCTTGGCGCGTTCATTTGCGCCCTATGATCTCCATTTTGTTAATTTTTGGTAAACTGTAGGGAGAGAAGAAATTCTGAGAAGGGCAATGACCATTATCGTGTAAGGCAGCAAAAAAAGTGATTGGCTATAAATACGAGAGAAACGCTCTTTAATAAGTGCCGGGAGAATGAAGATACAATTCACTTATTGAAATTAATAGTTAAAAAAAAAGCTTGGAAATAAAGTTTCAAACTCAACATACACAACAAATCGGAAACATTCCAGCAATAAGTTTAAAAAAAAAGAAAATGGAAATGCAAAGCAAAATATGAGAATTTAAAGAGGAAAGCAAAACAGGTTTTCCTGGAAATTATTGTTTATATTCACAAAATACATCGTCATTAATGCTCCAACTGATATGATACAAATGAATGAATGAACGAAACTGCCAAGTTCATTCAGGAAGAGCCATAAGAGCCGAATATCGAAGCAGATAAGGAGATTTGATCTGCAATCGTCTTCAACCATTATTAAATTCGACCTTGAAAGTAAACATGGTTTGATCATTAATTTTTACAAAAAACTCATTGAAACAAAAAACAAAAACTCATTTGAAAAAAGTTTTATGTGCTATTAATTTTTAAATAACCATAATTATTATTTTGGTGTTATCTGTAAGACTGGTTGCTTATCCGATAAATTTGCATCCATACCCTTTATTTGTGCATCATATTATAACTTGCTAAGGCTGAGTTTTTTCTTTGATGGTTCAGTTCTTCAGTTCTCTAAAAGCACTTATTACTTCTGGTTTGACTGGCTCAATCAACTACTGAAATCAGAGAAACACGGGCATAGAAGCAAAGATACATGTCTAGCATATCGTCAAAGGACAGGGATCCAACTTGCCATTAGTTCAGTCGAAGCAACTTATTATTTACTGGACCACTCCGCCAACATTAATGTACTTTGTTCTATTGCGGAAATCTATCATTATGAAATATGCAGATAAAGAGAGGATATACTCCGATCGTGACAGTAATCCACCATGCCAAGTAACTTTAAATGCCTAAATATGATGGAACGAATTTATGCAAAAATAAACAAAGATCATTGCTTGAACCTGCTGATCTGATTCTTTATCCTTTTTATACAAACAACTGCACATTTTATAAGTCAAAATAGATAGCACACTGTTGAAAATTTTCGATGATTTGGAAACCATTCCTTTGAGTTCATCGAAGGACCATTCGTCGAAACATGCATATTTAGCGTTTTTCCTGTGTGCAGCTAAATTAATAACAATATTGACAGTTCTTTCTTTTTTCTCTCAGTTTGTTTTACTCATGGGAAGAATAAAGGAGAAAGTGCAACTTCTAGTTCATCCGAACTCATTGGATTATTTTGATTTAAGATGCTTTATCAGTTACATGATAGTGGTGTTCAACCGCTAAAATCGAATATTAATCGAGTAATTTGATAATATAAATTAAAAGCTGAATCTTTAGATAGATAGAATAGAATAGTTTCGAGTATAGGCCAATCCTCATCACATCGCTGTCAAAAGTATTGTTACAAAAGGGAAAATTCATTTGCCTATCGCCTATCCCTCTTCGCCTTTTATAGTACATCCCATAGGTAAAAAAAAAATTAATATTCAGATTTAAAAATATCATAAATTTAAGATTTCAGGAGACCATTAAGTGCCATATGAACCTCGAAATTCATTGTCGGTTGAGGAAGTGCCCGATTTTAAATATCTTGGGTCCACATTCTAACACCAAATGGCCAGGTAAAAGACGATATTACGAACGGCAACTAGAAATGTATTTTTCCGGCTGACGAAACCTTGTGGAGCCGTCGTGCCACCATAAAAACGAAAGTCCGCATCTATATAGCTGATCCGTTCGATTTTACTATATGCCTCTAAGACATAACCAATAAGAGTGGAGGATATTAGGAAGTTATCTGCCTTTGACAACTCTTGCTTAAGATACATATACTTATTATATACTTCTCAGACTATATAAATGCGGGCTTTCACTGTTAGGGAAATTTTGAGCGAATCGACGGCCCTGTGATATTCGACCTTAGGTGGTGGAAAAAGGAGTGGCTTAATTAAATAATTTTATACATGGCATAAGCTCGGGAGGCATACAAATGTCTTATCCTACATGCTAATGGAACTAGTCAATTCAGAAAATGTTTTGTTAAAAGAATAAATAATAAACGAGAATAAAAACTGGTTATGATGTTATATGGAGATCTTTAGTTTCATTTTCAAGATCCGATCTTGAGAATAAATTCTCTTCGAATTCTTTTCATCTCTTTACTATCATTATAAATTTCTGAGCGAAAATTCTGAAGGATCATATAGGATCATATTTGTCTACATATTGTCTACCTTTTTCTCTGAACAATACTTAACTTATAAATATTCTGAATTAGTTGATATTTTATGTCTTAAATTATAAATTAAATCCTTAAATGTTCTGAAAATTTATCCTGATCTAAGATTTTAGAAAAATGAAACTTGAAATTTCAATAAGTAATAAACATTTTTTGCATTTCTTTCGTGCTCAGATAAGTTCCACACGACGTTGAGAAATATCCTGCAGCAAAATTTCGTTCATTGAATTTCTACAAAATTTTTGCACAGCTACCAGAGTGATTTTTGAATTGGAACATAATTTGCCTGAAGGAACAAAAAGATTAGTGGAAAGAATATAAAATATCAAAATTTCTGAGTGTTGAGGAAATAATGCTGGAGGAATTTAAAAATTTTCATGAAAAAAAATTTGCCAGTAAAACTTTAAGAAATTTTAAATATCAATAGATTTGTTTCGCTCTCGTGGGGTTTCAGGCATTTCAGTATCTTCTGCGCTGTCTTTTCCATTTTTATTGATGCAGTTGTCTGAAGAAGATTTTCTTTTTCTTCTGTAGCTTCTTCTTCACCAAGCATTTTGGTGCTCACAAGTTCTGTTATTGATCCCATTACCGATTTAGTAGTTTTTGGAAGATTTTCTTTCTTGATTCGTATGCACAGACTTTGTTGCAAATCTAACCGGGATATTGTGAACATTTGCTACACATTTCATCCTTCACAAGTCAAATTAGGAACCAAATTTCCGTTGAAATTTCCAAAACATTATCGCTTACAAACCAAAAACTAAGTGAAGAAAGGATTATTGTAGGTAAAAAATACTTTGGATTAGAATAGAAGCAAATAATTGTAGAGACAAACATAAATTTCCATCTTCTTCATCGCGATGGAGTCGGACCGAGCAGATTGGAGACGTCTTACCCTTGAGAGTGAAGCCAACCCAACCAGTAATGGTGAGAACTGTAAGAAGAAGACATCGCAATGAACCATTCCGTAACTAATTTGCTTGCATTTACACGCAATCTTGAAAATTATAGTGATATGTACAATGATATTTATATTTCTGAGAAAATTTCCAGAGCTAATATAGGGTTTTATTTGATACATTTAATAACATTTATCGAAGAAGATATGTATTCTACCAGTTAACGAAAATTGAATAGTAAAAATGGTAAAATACCCCGCAAAATATTTTTAGAGCTTTCCTTAGCCCTAATTATTAGCTCGTATTCTACCAAAAATCCTCGTTCATAGTAGAACGAATTCTATACGAAAAATTTTATTTTAAATTGCCTGTGTTACTTTTTTCGGGAAAGAAATATTAAAAGAAATGCAGGTCGCATCTTGGTCGCAATGAGTTGAATCTCTTGAAATCTCCCCAAAACTCCTAATGTTTTGGTAAGAATTTTTTAAATTCGTTTCTTTAATAAATACTTAAACCGTTATTTTTCCTTTCTGTCCCATTAAATACTGGTCATTATTCAGTCCGTTAAGTTTTGAAATATAGTATGGCAAAGTATTGCTAACGAACTCATCTTCATATACTTTTGCCGTTGTAGGATATACTGGCGTCTGTAGATTGTTGTGCTCGTTTTGAATATTAGCCTATATAATAAAATGCGAATGCTGTTAGTTGGTGTGTATAAATCAGAAAGAAGCCATTCCAAATTCTGCAATCTGTCAAAATCAGCCATCTACTGCTTCAAATCTCGTTACGTATTTTCATAGACCTTGTCGGAAATAATCGAAAGTAAGAAAATAATAATAATACGGTAGAATTCAAAACCTTTTTAAATTTTAAAAAAGGGAAAAACAACAAATCTTTAACAAAGCTTTTTACTATCAACAGTATTCAAATCATACAAAATTGTTTTTCCTTTTTCTTTATTCACGCATCCGTTAATTAATTTGTAAAACATCTTATCTTATTAATATATCAACAACAACAATTTATGAAAAAATATTTCTTTTTGAATAAAAATAAACAAATATAATTGGTATAATTTTTGATCTATTAATATTTGTAAGAACCACCCAGATGGGCAATGAAGCACTTCGAACTAGCAGTGTTGGATTTGCGGTTTTGGAGGATTGATGATCGACTCGCCCTCGTCTTGCTTCGTCTTGCTTCACCTTATTTTTGTTCATAACAATTCTTCTTAATTACATTCGCTTTTACTTCAAATCTGTTAGATAACCATTTCCGTTTATTATCGTAACTGTAATAATAAATATTTTTATTCACATTCGCAATTGCAAATTTTTTTTCCGACAGACCTCTCAAATTCCCTTGTATTCCCTTCAAGTTCCTTTACATCCGCATATAACAAATTTCAATCACGCTCATTCTTCTTTCATTCTTATAATCCCTTATCTTCTCGTAAGATTCCATGAAAATTGTCTTGAATCCCACAGTATTGTTTTCCTTAGCAAACAACATTCTTTTCCATTCCATTGATATCTATTTAAACCCCATCACTTACTACCATGTAAAAAATATCTATTGTGTCTCCTGAATTATCACCTAAATTGTAATCACTCAATATTTTATCCGAAGTTGAGAGAAAATAATTATAGTAATGCAATCTAGTCTTTTTTTATAATTATAATTTATTAATCAACTTTTAATTTAATAACTTTTGGGAATTTATGCTATCATCTCATAAATGTCTCATACTATCTGTTATTTACACAGTGAAATATGCATCTTTAATCAGCTTTCAATAAAACAACAAATGCAGAGATACACTTAAAAATATTGATAGAGGCAAATTTGTAACCAATTTTTTCAATAATAATCTTTCGTTATTATAAAAATAAATGCAAATTTCCAATTTTAATCGCCAAAAAAATATCAATATTGTCGTGAAATTAACGAATTCAGTAATAAAAATTAATTACTAAAACACTAAAACTAAAATTAATTACTAAATTAAATACTAAAACATTATTAATAAATATTTAAATACAAATATTTATTTTAAAATATTCTGAAACAAATGATATGATTTTTACTTTTAGCATAATTCACTCGACTTTCTAGTTCTCACAAATTCATTTTTTAATATGAATTTCAAATAGAACCAATACAAGTACCTACTCTTCATATCGTTGGTTCAAAGTTAGATTTCTCTAATTTTTGAACTATTTGTGAATTTTTTAGAATATTTGAAACATTTTCATCAACATGGAAACAAAACTTTTTTGTACGAGTTTTTATAGATGAAGGAAGATATTGTAGTTGATCTGTGCAATATAAACTCTGAATTACTGAATATTCCTGGCTAAGTTTGAAATCACTTAAATTGTGCTACAGAAATTTAAAAATTTAGAAAAAGCAACGGAAGGGTTATTGTTTTTGAAACCATTTCTGAGCATAATTTATTCATTATTGAAATATATGAAAAGATGAAATTTTAGCTAAAATTTAAGAGAATTTTGGAAGTCCTGAGAGGTTCTCTTCCTAAGACCTTCATTTGAGCGCAAATCTGTTTTTTTCAAAATGTCTTTTTTCGATTGAATACTGCATATTAAATAAACGTAAACAAATTAGATCAATCCACATGAAATTCATTTCTGATATCCTGATAACGCAACGAATTGATATCGTAATTCTATGAAATTCTTTGAAAAGAACTGCACAAAAACAAGATTTTTTCCCATAAATCACGTACAAATGGCTTTAAAAGGCAATCAGAAACAATATCATCCCAAGGCATATAAAAATACATATCGCATCGAAGCAATGAGGGTTCTTCATACAATAGCGCTGCTGCTTTTTTCTCTACATTTTGGTGAGTTTTGCTTTTGCTTACAGCTACCAATTTTTTTGTTGTTCTTACAGTCGAAAAATCTTTTTTTCACCTAAAAGTTGTGAAAATCAAATTTTTTTAAATTATAAAATAAATTAAGATAAGCTTACGGCTATAAGCTGTCGCGATTCGAAAATTACTGAAGAAATGCGATCAGACGTATTAAAAGAACACAATTCACTCAGATCACAGCTAGCGAATGGTAAAATTAAAGCAGCAGGAGAGAAGTTTATGCCGCGAAGTTCAAATATGCAAAAATTGGTTGGTTTTACAGAGCGAAAATTGTTGAAAATGAGAAAAAGACGTTTAAATTATTAAATTATGTTTAAATAATTTTCATGAATGGGACTGCATTTTGGAAGAAAGAGCGCAAAAATGGGCCGAAAATTGTGATTTTAACCATTCATCGAGAGATTTCCGCAATTTTAGTGGTGAAAATCTTTACGCCAGATGGGAAAATAAAGAACCGACGTTAGGTAAATTTTTAACGCACACATTGTCATTTTAAATGGTTCTTTTTCATTCTTTGTGATTTCTTTTGCTTCATTCCATTGATCTTCGTTATCAACCAAGATGTACAAATTTTTTTTTACTGACTGCAAACAGCTTAACCGATAATTTTTGAACTGAAAAAAAATAGCTAATAGCTTCAAATGCAGACACCATTTATTCAGGCACCATAATATATTTATAGATCAACGTTTACCTTAGATAAGAAGCAATTTCGCGACGCGATAGAAGGGTGGTGGTGGGAAGAATTAAAAAATATGCGACCGCAATCCAAGATGAGAGGCGCTTCTTTGGGAGGTGTTATCACGCATTTTACACAGGTTATTTCCAAAGCTGAAATCTCGCTTTCTGGCGAGGTTCATGAAAATGAGCTTTTTATGCTTAGGAAAAATTAAAAAAAACAATTAAAACAATTAAAAAACAAAATCGTAAAGTATCGTAAAATGCATCCGAGAACTAGAAGATATATTTCAACACATAATATCTTTTAAGATGGCATGGGCAATCACAAGCAGGCTTGGCTGTGGAATTGCTAAATGCTTGAATAATAATGGATATCCATATATGGTTCACGTCGTTTGTCACTACGATCCAAGGTCTTTTTTTTCAAAATAAAATCTTTATTAATTCAATAATGATGAAAATTTTTAGAGGAAACTGGGATGATGAGATTTATGAAGAAGGTGCACCATGTAGCAAGTGCTCACAATACCTCGGCAAAACGTGCAATGAGCAAGGACTTTGCGCATCTAGCAGTAGATCAGCTCCCGCTGAAGAAAAAACAAACAGACAGAAGAAACAGTCAATGAAAAAAATAAATGAAGAATCGGAGAAAACATTTGTAAAATTTGTGGACAATAAGACTCCACATGAGGACACTGATGAAGCACCAGAGGAAATATCTTTTGATGAACTCGAGGAATTGCCTCGAGATTATGAAGAGAATAAGGAATCGAATGAAATGCCGACTTCAGAGGAAGAAGCACCTGCTGAGGAAGCATATGAACAGTTGCATGAACTTCCCTATGAAGAACTTGAGGAAATACCGACAGACTATGAAGACTATGAGGTGCCTTATGAGAAAAAAAGACCTGTTGAAGAACCTTCCGAAGAACTGGAAGAGCAAACGTCTGCTGAAGAAACACCTGAACCTGAACCTTTGCAAGAAGTGTCCTTCGAAGAACTTGATGAAGCTCCTAGTGAATATGAAGACAATGGGAAACCCGAAGAACAGACACCTAATGAAGAATCAACTGAACAACCAGAGCAAGCTGAAGAATTTGAGGAAATACCGATAGAATATGAAAACCTATGAATAGAATACAAATAAACGACCACCTTAAGAAACTGGCTAATGCAAAGCTAATAAATTCATCAAGTACAATATGATAAAATGATAAAAAATATAATCAAAAAAATAAAATGATTTATGAGTTTTATAAGTTACTAGAAACAAATGCCCATCACTGAAGACAAGGATGGTGCGTGAAATTCATTCTCCCTTTTTATAAAAAAAACTTAAAAATAAGACTTAAAAATTAGAACAAGCAAGTCTTGTTAAAAGAAAAAACGAAGGAAAAACAAATTACTAAATGAACTTGACGATAGAAGTGCATTTTCTCTTAAATTCCTAATTTCGATTTAATTTTACATTACATAAAGTTTTTCTTGCTTTTATTTCCTAAAGCACTTTAAGCACCATGTGAAACTGAAAATTAATGTTCATAACAAATGTTCGGCTAATTCAGTTAACTTTGAAGGTATTCGAGCTTCTTCAATAGTTAATAAGATTCGCGACACGTACTTAGGCAAAACAAATCCGAAATTTACCTTTTTAAGAAACAAACCTCATGTGCATTAAAAACGTTGAACCTTCGGTAGATGACGCTCATGTTCTACTATTTTTATAAAAAATTTTGCTTTTCTGCATGTTGCATGTGAAACTAAAAACTAAATGTTCATAACAAATGTTCTGCTAATTCATTGCCTGATGTCGAACCAGTTCGGCCAATTCAATTCGATTCAAACTTAAAAGACATTATTTTGAGAAAGGATTCACGGTTTTCACTAGGACGACAAACGAGAATCGTGACATAAAAAAGGTTATGCACCTATTATAATAAATACGACATTTTTTACGAGCAAAAGCAATACTGTGGAGCATTTAGTAATCTCTTCGAGCAATTTTCCAAAATTTTCCAAAAAAAGCGAGATACGCATCTAAAAAAATGAATAGATGTAAAAATCAATTTTTTACATAAACAAGTCAGGACAAACGCTTCATGGATACGATAATTAATGAATGAAAGAGGGGAAGAATAATAAATTTGGATAAAAAACTATGAAAACGAGAATGGAATAGATTTTTTCAGAAAACAATTGTGCTGACAAGAATTATCTAAATTACCAAAATTCTCAAACAACTGTCAACAAATGCCGCAGAGTTCAGAATCGCAGAGTTTGAAAATGAGAATTATCTTACAGTGGACGAAAATATCAACAAAAAGTAGCAGAACGGCCAGGTAATTATAATTATTTTTACCTAATTTTTTTGTTCGTTTTTTGAGTCGTATTTAGTTTTGTATGGTGAAACCATTCATTTATATATTTGCATTTCAACGAGTGTCATTTGCGCGATTTTTCAAAATTTGTCAATGCGAAACCTTTCAAGGAAATCGCAGCATGTATAGAATCATTGCATTTTGTGTGTCATATCATGGAAATGTCGAGAGAAAGATAAGTGGAAATAGCTGAAGGGAGGGGCAAGGGAGGGTGAAAGATGGCTCTGACGAATCTACAGTCTACCAATTTCAAGTTTTCAGTTATATGAAAGGCACTTGAATATTTGAAAATTTGAATATTAACATTTTCATTTTCTCCAAAATGAGGTGAAAATATACGTTTTAACGAACGTAATAAGAAAGTGCGATTAGTATTAGTATTTATTTATTTAGAATCATTTGAACGCACCAAATTCTCCCTTACATTAATATTTAAAAAGTGCGTTCATTCGGGTCCACAGCCCGGAGTTCGCGAAACTCATATTGGAGCAAGTAGTAGGCGAAAGATTCTCAAAAAAACTCACTGAAATACAGTTGCTCAGTTGAAATACAGTTGAAATACATTTCTTTATAAATTGATGAAATGGTGAACGAAATCTAGCTTTTGCCCGAATGCTCATGGCAGCGCACCAAGTCTATCTGAAAAGCAAGAAATGACCTCTTTCCAACGGCAAACACCAAATCTAAAATCTCTAACTTCTTTGATACTTTCTCCTATTTTGAGCTAACAAATTCCTTTGTCCTGCCAGCTTGGCATCTTATTTGCTGCGACAGTGGCTTCTATAATTTTAACAAACTTTTTTCATAATTTTAGTAGCATTATTTTTATTAACAGTCAACTACACTAAAAATAATATAAATATAAATTCACAGCCAAATTTATTTATCGTTAACGATTGTAAAAACCCTGAAAATATTTGCTGTAGAAGGAACCAACAGCGAATTTTAGAGAAAAAACATAAATTTGGATTGTCATAGTGGAATTTTATAGAAAAACGAAATATTTTTTCGAACATTTTTTGAATATTTCTGTTATAAAATCGAAAAGGCTATTGTATCACATTTAATAAAGAAGTGAAATCACCTCTAGTGAGGACAACGCGTTAAAGAAAATCGCAAGCAAAATCATAACTGGTCAACGTATTATTACTTGCAAACATGAATGAATTCTTTGAAATTCAAATCAGGAAGAAAAGCCCATTTCTTGAAGATTTATAAGGTTTCATATTTGCGACAAGTGCTAAAGAAAACAAAGATAAAAACAATAAAAATAGAAAAAGCCACGTGAAGTTCATTCGCACTGATAACCCACTGATATTCTTTTCCAATCAATTGGAGCCCTAATTCGGCCAATCGGACATAAAAATAGCGCAGGATCCTTTTCCCATTATTCATATACAAATTGCTTTATAAAATTAATTAGGAACCATACGACTGTGCATTAGTCAAAGCATATATTTCGAGAACACTGTATTAATTGCCCTTGGCAGCGGTGTTTTTCTTTTTCACTCCAATTTGATAGGCTCTTGCTTCAGCGAGGTGGCAACTTCCATAGTCCCTTTTACTTTCAAGAAATTGCTTCTCGCACTGATTAGGAGCAATCTGCATATTGAAGTTTTTCAATAAATACGAAGTAAATTTCAAATTTAATTTTTTTTTATATTTTCTTATTTTGAATTTTTGAAGCCTATGAGCGGTCGGTTTCTAATCTGTGGTTTTCTTCACTTTAAATTTTTCACTGAATTTGTTCGATCTCCAGTTTACCAGTGAATAATAGTGAAACTCTATTGTACTTTAAAAGAAGTCGAAAAAATTCCTCGCATTAAGTAGGATTTTACCTTTATTTTTAATTGATTCTAAATAAATGAAACATTCAATATTTTGAATTCTTTGAAGCATTCTTTATTGACCTACATTCCTAGTGAAAATTAAAATCAACATTTTAATTTTATGAACATTTGCACATTTCATTGCAACATTTATACCAATCTGAAATATTAAAAAGTTGTGGAAGATGGAACTTTCTTGGGTTGGTATGGAATTTATTGTATTTTTGGACGGAAGCCGCGACCTTTCTCCAATCCAGTTTAGCAGTTATGTTAAAATCATCGTGCAATGAAATAATTTGTCTAATCTACCATGAACGGAATAAATCATAAGATAAAGAGTTTAATACAACTTTATTGACATCATTTGTATACATTATAATGAACAAATGATCACTACAACTGAGTTTATCTTCCTTTTTTCAGTTTATACTTCTTCTAACACCTCTCACCATTACTGGTTAGGCTGGCTCCAACGGCTACAAGAAAAAGAAACGACTGGAAGCTCAACTTCTTATCATTACCATATCTGACAAGTTAGCCCTTGGCTACATTGAAAAATCACATTCACCACCAAATTTCTTGTTAATAATAAGATTGTGCCTTACTGAAATTTGATTGGATCAACTTGGCACATTCTGTTCTGCTAATTCCACGCTGATGCAAAAAAATTCCTAAAATAAGACAGCCAAAAATTCCTGGTCAGTATAAATAATGATGAATAAATAATGTACTTTTTCATAAATAATGACTGTACTTTTTCAAACAAATTATATATCTCGCTTAAAATATTTTTTGTTGCAAATGGAGGGTGGAAGTGCTTTTTAGCAAACCATAATGTTATGCTCTCTTTGATTTATGCTCAATCGCCTTATGGCCGACCTTTTTTGAGACTATGAAAATCATAGTCTTCAACTTTATGAGGGTTTTCTTCAATAAAAATGTTTAAATTTCAAATGATGCGCAATATCCAAGCGCTTGTAATTCTTTAGCATGCCAAAAAGCATGCCAAATTTATTCAAAATGATATAGTACTAGCAAATTTTTATTCGCAATTTTTTCCCTGTACCATGAAATTCACGTTTTTTCTTTGCTTGTGGCTTATTGCTATAAGCATTGACGTATATTTCATCAATAATAGATGTACGGATAATCTTTATTTCTACCACTATATCCTATATACCTTTCTTGCAAAGAGAAATAGTTTGGGTGTATGCGGTTTAAACTACTGAACGATTCGCATACCGTAGACTGTCTTCAAATGACGATTATATTTTATTGTCCGTAATAAAAAGAACATAAAGAATCTGTAGCCATTCACTTAAACCTTAATTTTGCCCATGTAAAATATCATAAGTAGATGGTCACTTTTTTTACGAAAATTAAATTCTGTATAATCTTAAAATCTCGTGTACTTCCTCAACTTTCTCAAAAATTGCTCATCCACTCATCCACTCTCCACGGGCTATACACCTCTGACATATTATCTAAATAACCGCATTCAGTTCAGGTGAGACTTTCGAATAATAATCAATCGACCTATTGCGAATTTGGCATCGAAGATAACTGAAATAAAGTGCTTCATACTGCTGTAAGGACTATATTTGCTTATTATTTTCTAAAAAATCCTTCTAATCTAAAAATCATCCTCAGATTATTTGTTGCAAGAGGGAACAGGAGGGTGAAGGGCTCTATCCTTTTATTTCAACATAATTTTTTTTAACAGTGCGACAATGCATTCTACATAAAAGGAAATTTTCGTACAAAGGAAGTCGAGTATCATAACGACGTTGAATGCCTGAATGCCTTAATTAAGGAACATCGTTTGTAGGAAAATAATTCCGAGAAAAGAATGCATGATGTCGAAGTAGAAGAAAATCTTTTTACCAAACCAAAACCGCGATAAAAACACAAATCTTTTAAATCCTTAAATTTAAATTTCGAAAAAATCTTATAAATAATCTAAAAGTCATTCCAATAATTTACTGATTATTAGTTTAAAGTCGTCTTTTGCTGCTTTTTTTTCCTTTTTATTAGTCTGTTTCCTTCTATCTTCATTTTTTCTGTTAAGCGATTAATATAGCAAAAACTTTGTTGCCAAATATTTAAATTCGATATTTAAATTTGAAATCGAGTCCTTCCAGATATTCCACAAAGGGCTAAAGTGCCACTTGTCACGAGACTTACTTGCTAAAGTAGACTTACATTTCAATCTCCACATATTATATAGAATTATTCGCTAAAAAAGGTAAATTTTTTGCCAATAATTAGAAATAATTCTTTCTTTGTAAATTCCAGTGATAATGATATAAGGAAATGCAAACTAAATTTTATCATCGATAGTAAACTGGAAAAAACAATCGCTGATACTTTACAGCCGACCATTGCAACGTGAACTATGATTACCTATAAAACATCGTATTAAATGGATAAAAAAAAGGATAAAAATTGTGGATGACTTTTATTTTTTACACCTTTTCTATTAACCGCTTTGAAAATACGATCAATTTTTAAAACTGCCAAATTTAAACTTTAAAAACTTTAATTTTGGTAGTCTTGAGCGATCATATTTTTTTCCATAATTTACTTTTATATGTTTTAATAGTCTTTTGATTCCATTATTTATTTTTCCTCTAGTCTTTGGAAGATTAGCCCATTAGATCGCACAGCTTGAAGCGTCTTATCCTTATAGACGTTGGAGCCAACCAGTAATGGTGAGAAAAAGAAGATTAGACCATCATCGAGAATTTTGTGCGGTAACCGTTAGCCCATTTGCATTTTATTTCCAAAGTGAGTCTACAGAGGAACAAAAATCAAACGACATATTTCAACATTCACCAGTTGTACAAGCTATAAGTATTTAACCAAGAAAAAATCTGATAGTGGCTTTGGAGACAAACGATAAAATTGTAAGGAAAACCGAAGTACATACATGAGGTGAGGACTCTGAGGACTGCAAGGACGCTTGTGGATGCTAGATAATCTTATAGATAATCTTTATCCACGTGGGACATCGCTCACTGCCGGAATCTGTTTTCTCATTTCGGCTCTTCAGCAATTATTGTGCTCCAGAGTAAAGATTTTTATTGCTCAAGAAAGCCTGGTGCTGACTGGTTTAGCGATTGTTATGTTCGGAACTCTGCTAGCTCTGCTCATATGAAGACCTGTTAAGGGGCGGACTTTGCCAAGGAAGCAGCATAATTATAATCCTTAAATAATTGTACGAATGGTGCAATGCTACAGTGCAAATAAGGCATTGGGATTCATTCCGCCGAAGAAAACGCCTTATTCGCTTTACTGAGGAGTATAGACTCATAATCGAAAAGATAAGGAGCCCTCCAGATAAATAGCAGTCTAATAAGATTGGCGATATTCTGCTTAGTTTATATCGAAAGATAATTGTAGAGGAACCACTCCAACTGCACTCGAGCTGGCAACATTCGCGATTACACCATTTAGTCATACGTTTCCAACCGATTCTTCATAAAGCAACCATGACCATGAACGAAAGCGAAATAAGAATAAACTTATCTGAAGAAGACTCTGGAAGACTTAACAGAACTTAATAGGATAAGACATAAATAAAACTTTTTAATTGTTTGAATAAATTGATCGCAACTGGCAGCCGCCAATAGAACATAAAATAATGTCCGAAGGTTTATTCGAAGGTTTAAAGTGAAATAAAGAAACTCCCGTGGTGAATTTTTTAAATGCAGTCTTCGGCGACTTGCCTTCATAAGATGGGTAAGATTCATTCGCTGGTATGAAAAAAGAATTTATGCCCATGCGCCTATAATGAAGAGAGATGATGGGCTGAACTCGAAAATTGTATGAAGTGATCTACTAACCTGTTGAACTGAACAGGAGTCAGCCTAATCGATAAAACTGTGCATTTTATTGCAAGTAACGACATAATCAAATTAAGAAATCTTGGCAAAATTTTTTATATTTCAAGGCTTGATTCAAGTGAATTTATAAAATTTTTTTAAGAAAAAAGATAATGAATAAAATTTGCAAAGAAACATTTTTTTTAAAGAGTCCTCACCATTACTGGTTGAACTCGCTCCACTTGCTAGTCGCATCGGGCAATATGCCATGGAGTCCCTTGGCGATAGAAATACAGGCGAGCGCCAGCATCATCTGGATTTTTATACAGGCTTACTTCTGCGAGGAATTAAACCTCAGCACCGGCGCTCCCAACTGAACAATAACCCACTAAGCCAAAGAAACATGTAAGCATTTGATAAATCATTTAATAAGCATATTAGTTTAATACGAATATATTAAGGCTTCTCAACAATTAATTATTGAAACAAAAACTAAAATAGAATCATAGATCATGCTAGCTAAAAAAATAAAAAATATTAATGAAAGCCTCTTATATATTTGCCGTATAAAATGAAATTGTACAAAATCAAAAGAAATAAATGAATAAAAATTTCATTTCATTTATGTTGAATAAATGTCCTTAGTGTTGCTATTAATGGACTAGTGCATGGACTGCAGCCCACCAGTTAGGAGCTCATCAGATTGCACACCAGAATGGTCAGGAGCATAATTGTCAAATTGATTTGGTGCCAAATTTTTTTGCGAAAGCAGTATTTTTTGCTTGATCTTTCGAACATCATAAAGCTTGGAAGTCAACATTTTAACATCCTTTTGAAGATCTTCACTAAATTAATGAAGATTATAAATTATGACGACATAAATTCAATTTTTTTCCAACATATCACAGGTGGGGACATATGATTCATATAGTTTTCACAATTAGTATCCTTACTAAATTTTCTAAAAATATTTCTTATATTTTTTCTTCTCTATGTCATAGAATTACAGTTCCAACAGTTCTATAGATGAATGATAAACTTACAGAATTCCTATTTTTTGTAAATCTGGGGCATCAATAACGTCAACTCGGTCATAAACCTTTAGTAATTGAATAAAATTTTCCCTTTCTTCAGCGATTTCTGCTTGTAAAGATTGAACTTAATTCGACAAATAATTAATCAAATATTTTTAAATATATTCAGGAATAAATTATTCTTTTTATTTTGGTTTTGGTAGAGTTTATATATCTATTATATTTATATATTTCAAAACTGAAAAATCATATTAATTGCTTTTCTCCGCTAAACTACTTCGCAAAAATGATGCACAGTTTTTATTCTAAATGTCATAGATGATTAATGAGCGATAAAGAAGGAAAAGAAGAAAAAGTTTAACAACATAAAGAGCCAATATCAAAAGCAAATCATTATATAGACAATGAAAAACTAACGCCGTTGCTCCTTTTGACATAATGCATCTTGACTTTCATCATATTCTACATTATCTATCCCCTATAAAGCAAATTAATTTTTATAAGTTTCACTAGAACTTGCCAGAAGAAAAATAAATCCAAGGACGTTTATAAAGTGCAAAATACTGATAGCTCAGCATGACTGAAATTCAAGTAACGTTTGGTATTCCTTAGACAAAAAGTTAAAATTTTTGCAGAATAAACAAATTCACTGAATCAACGATATATTTAAGAGGAATCCAGATGAAGAAAAAATAAATTTTTTTTAAGTAAAAAAGAAAGATGTGGAAAGATAAAAGACTGATCGGTGAAATAATCGAAAAGATATACTTTTTCACGGATTGATTGAATTAGCTCGGCATAATTCTCCATCGATTCAAACCTTTTGAAGACAGAATCCGATTCCAGAAAGTGTTCCTTACAGGATTTCTCAAGCTCAGTTATGATGCGCATTATTGCACTGTTCATTACTTCCAATCTAGAAAAAAAATCCAGCATTGAAAATGCATTAAAAAAAATAAAAACTGCATATCAAAAATAAAAGTTAAATTTTCAATTAAAACAAAAAAACTTGCTCCTTTATTAATTGCTGTTGCGATTCCCTAACTGATTCATATTTGTTCAATTCATTGTCTAATAAAGCAATCTCTGCTTTTCTCATTGCTTCTTTTTTTTTTCCTAATGAAAATGATAAATTAGCTAATTAATTGGATCCTGATTTCCAGGATAATTTCGACTAAGAAAAATTGCTAAGGAAAATTTTGAAACATCGGATTTTGAAAATGCTGAAATATTTGATATGGGATAAAAATAGAAAAGAATAAAAAGAAGAAACCCTCAAACAATAATTGCGTTAAACTGTCTACGCAAGCAACCAGGTTTATTTCCTTTTCTTCCAATAATTTTAATTCTGAAATGAGTTGTATTCATCAAAAAAATTGCTAAACGCCACATTCATCGAGAAGAAAATGCTGTCTTCATCGCCATATCTTTCTCGTTCTTCAAACAGCATTCACCATTTTTAATTTGGCTGGATAAACTTATATTATGATAATCCCTATAAAGCCTATCACACAGGGATATATGTATAGATGGATTCCTTGTAGCCATGTCGCTTTTAATTTTTTTAATGGCAACAGAACAGAAATCGAAATGGTAATTCATCCCTCGGTCGAAGAAAACGACTCATCTATCAAATCTTTTACTACATTATAATTATTCCATAATGATTAATATTTATAGTCAATTCGCAATAGTTAAAACAAACTACATCATTCTCAACTATATCAATCTCACTTTTTAGCTATAATTTTTTTCAATAATAAGGAAAAAACTATAACAAGAAAAAAAATTTTTGTTTAACTTTTATTTCAATGGGCATGGTGCCCGATGACATATGCGATAATCATACAAAGTTGACTCGAAAATAATTTTAAGAATGAGAGTAAATTGTAGGTTTCTCCAGGCATAGGAACTGCTCCAATTCTCTTAAGCTAAGAAACTCGCATGGTCAACTAAGATCTGGATAAAACTGACGATTACAGCACAAAATCTACTATTTGGCTACTCCAAGATTAGGTAATAGTTGGCTCATTTCCATCAGAGGCACATAAAGAAATTCAGAGCTATATCTGCACTGTGATAACATTATTAATACATTTGGTGTTTGAACGAAGATGGATGCGATCATGTGATATTTTATCCGCTCGACGGACCCGTAAAATATACCTTAGACAAAAGCAGTTAAAGGTAGATAGCTTCTTAATATCCTTCACTCTCATTGGCCATATAGCAAAATCGAACGAATCACGGCCTTGAGTGCCGGCAAGCGATGTCTATCGCACAGTTGAATATTGTAAGGGAAAGGACGCAGCCTTAACGAATATCAGTTCATTTCGAAGGAGTCTGTAAGTTCCCCATATACATAGATCTGCGCCGACCTATGCTCATAAAATGCCTTTACGAGTCGAATAATCTTCTCTGGAACACCGTCGCATTCCATCACTCTCCAAAGCGCTTTTCTATTAATTGAATCAAAAGCAGCCGCAAAGTCGATGAAACAAAGGCAGTGTGTTGCAAATATCTGAAGCGATGTTCCAACACCCTTAATGTGAATATCAGCACAATCGATTTCGTATCTAAATCCACCTTGATTAGGGCGCATCCGGCTGTCTCGTATTCCATAAGTCTGTTGAGTAAAAGAGAAGCAAATTTTCGCTGAAACGTCTAGTAGGCTAATTCGTCGATAATTGTCCTATCACCTTTCTTGAGAATTGGGAGCAGAATTGCTTTACTCCAATCATCTGGTAATATTCTTTTTCGCATACCAGAGAGTACATTTGTTGAAGTTG